TCTCTCTGCTGCTCTGAGGTGCGGTTGCCTGGTTTGGACTGCTGTCCTGCCATCTTGTCCCACGACGGTGCGGGGGGCCCCCGTGAGTGAGAAGCTGGGGGTCGGGTACTGCGGCGTGAGCTACCTGCCTTAGGTGCCCCCCCCCCCCCCCCCCCCACCCAACACACACACCCTCTCCACTATTTTAAACTTGGTAAGTGGCTGCAGCGAGTGAAGCTGTTGGGAAGGGGAGGCTTTGGGCTGCATTCGATGACGCAGACGCGGGGCTTCTGAATGGAGAGTGGCACTTGCAGGGAGCCCTGGGGGTCGCGACCCTTTCTCCGCCCCCCGCGCTTCAGGTGGGGCGGCTCCGCGCCGGCCGCGTGGTGAGAGGAGCGCACGGGCTGTCACGCTCGCCCAGCGGCCGCGGGGAGCTCTCGGCTGCAGCTTTCCCTCCACACGTGCGGGAAGCGTGCTCGGCGTCTCATTGGCGGCGGGCGGTTGCTGCTTCCAGGTCACGCCGGACGCTTCGCCCGAGTGGCCCGAGCTTGGCTGTTGCGTTCTCACGCATTACGTGTTTGTCTTCCGTGGTGACTGGGAAAAGCAAAAACAGTTGGGGGCCAGAAAAAGCGTACGGGATCCACAGCAAATAGCCAGGCTCCGGATCCTGGTTGGTTTTCTACAGTCAACGTTGAAACCTCGCTTTGCTGCCACGTGCTCCGGAAAGGAGTTGTTTCTCATGAGCTTTAAGTTGGATTCCTCAACATTCAACTAATTCTCTTAATTTAAATTTAAACACGTGTATTATATTTTGGTTTAGGGTTTTGGTGTGTGTGTGTTTTAACTAGAACTGTGAGGTTTTGACATAAAGAACTAAGTGGTGAATAAAACAAAAGAATTCCTGTACTAAAATTATGGGTTGGGAGAAGCACAAGTTGGAGTATTAGAAAGCATGTGTACACCGAGTAAGCCAAATACCTGTTTTGTCAACTAAGACTTACAGCAACCTGTAGCACAACTGAATAAATCGCTTAATTTCTGTGTTAAGGAACACTCGCTTGGCTAGCTTGTGTAATTATTTAAACTGCTCATCTTTACCTCTTTGGTCAGAATAATCCCAAGAAAGCACATGAAAAAATTGAGTCTGAATCGTAAATCTAAAATGTGCAAGGTAGGTGTGTTCACCCATTTTGAATGTTCAAAGGATGAAGCATGTTTGAAATCCCTCAGTTGTTTTGATCATAAAGCCCATCTTTGAAATAAGCTCTTAGTTGGAAACTAGTATTTTAAGTTACAAAGGTAGGGAATTGCTTCATAAATTTATAATTCAGTGGTCTTCGGGAAATCTCCCATATTAGCTATCAACATTTTCCTTAGATCAGTATTTCAGAGCACTCCTAACTTTAAATTGCATAAAACATTTATAAATAAAAGGAAAATGTTGAATGAAAAAACTCATTTTGAGATCCTGCTGTCAGTTGATGTTGTGGGCATTGGGGAAGGATAGTTAGCCTAATCCTGTGTTTGTGCTTTTGAAGAAAGGTCCTGGTATAGTGCTAGACTACCCTAGATATATATTTAATGTTCATATTATAAGAAGTAGCTTTGTAGCTAGTCTTTTTTCCATTTGAAGAATTGAGAAGTGACACTACAGACTATCACTGAGTATATAGTCTACTATACTATAGACCAATGTGATGTTTTTATTTTTAATTAAAAGCCTGGTATCTAGTGAAAATCAAGTGAGCTTGCACGTACAGCTAAATATATCAAGAGAAGCATGCATTTTTAAATGATGACTATTGGTTGAATATATTTGGTAAGTTTTTTAGATTCTGTAAGCCTAATATTGAATATTGGGTGGGGAAATAAGCCATTGTTCATTTGGGTGTGTTTGGCTTGGATATCATTATAAAGACTGGTTCCAAGCTCCACCCCAAAACACTTTAGCTCTGATGAAACTTATTTAAGATGCCTTGGTGTAAGATCTAACAATGTGCCTACACTGAGAATTTATGTGGAATGGACTTTAAAATTTCATCAGAGTTTGGTACTTACTGTTTTACTCTACAAGCACCTGAACAATTGGGTGAATCTTGATTGTGTTCCACTTTCTTAGAAAGAACCAGGGTAAATCAACTTAAGATCTTGTTAAAAAACAGTTCCTTGGCTGCTGTTTGGCCTTGACAGAAATTGTGGTTTGGGAATTATGGCATACCTGAATTTTACAGACTTGAGTTTAACCATCAATCTACTTATTCTTAAGGCCACCAGTAATGCATATTGATTGCTTCTTGGCATTAGATACTAACAGGGTAAATGCACTGGTAAGAACAAACCAAAGGAAATGTTCTCCATCCATAATAGTAAAATATTGAGTATTTTGGAGGTTGCATAACAGTTTTTCTATCAGGTGTAGTGTGTATAAAACATGTAAAACTAATAGAGGGGGTCTTTTTTCTGGTTAAATAGCTATTTCAGACTGGACATGTAATCCTAGATGCTAGTTGTTTTCCTTTCAATTTTGTAATTTCATAGAATTATCAGTCTTTTTTTACACTTGAGGTTTTTTTTCTCCAGATTATGTAAACTAAAAGTGTGGCCTTTACTTCAAAAAAAATTTTTTTTAGGGTCCTTATCTGTTGAATGTGAATGTGTATGGATTTGCTTGGTTATTTATGAATGGCTGCTGGTGTTATCTTTGGCGCATTTAAAGCCAAAATGTATCATTTGCCTAAAAAGTCTTTAAATATAGAATTTTAAAGTAAGAGACTGGCATTTTAAAAAGTGAGGGGAGAAATGGCCACTTACCCAGGTAACTTCCAAGTCAGTTGCAGAGAATGCTTTTAGGGGGTGAAAGTGACTTGGCAAACTAGAAGTTTGAAACAAGTTTATTTAAAATAGGAGTTTCTCTAAAGTACTTTGTTCCACTTTAGATATGCCCACTGTTTGCCTTTTTCAACAGAAAGTGCTAGTTAAGGGGACCTGAAGATTAACATTTTTTTTAAGTCTAGGCCTAAAATTTTTGAGTTGCAAAAATAATTTGCTTATGCTGGTTATTTATCATTTTAGGAATAAGGCGTGTTGGAAGAAGACCTGATCAACAACTTCAGGGTGAAGGGAAAATAATTGATAGGAGACCAGAACGGCGACCACCTCGGGAAAGACGATTTGAAAAGCCACTTGAAGAAAAGGGTGAAGGAGGAGAATTTTCAGTTGATAGGCAAGATTTTTTCAAATCTCTTCATGTTTTGTCAGTTTATAGAGTCTCAACACAAAGCTATAAATTGGTAATAATTGCCAGGTTAGCAGTGTGGCTGGTTATGTTTATCAGTTTTACAAAGAAACATCTGAATTGTTACTTCAGTAGCAGTTTTTAGTGTTCAACCTTAGATCCCTTGTAGTGAAACACTTCGTTGAATTGATAGACAGTTTCTTTTTCTTGCTATCCCCAGATGTTAACAGGAAAGTTCTGTTGTATTTATAGCAAAGCAGATTATTCATTATGCAGGTTAGATTTGTTTAATTATTAAATGTATTGATGAATAGTTTTATTAGGTTATTATATAAAATGAATAACAATAAAAAGTATGTGCACTGATAAGTTTTAGACAATGTAAAATTAATGTTCTTGTGGGAGTAGCTTCCTAGTTTTTATTTCCTTTATGTGATTAGAAATAGACTATTTTGAATTTTCTAAAACATGTGTTTATAACTGTTGGCTTATGAGCCAATAAATGTATTCCTGTATTTTTGAGTCTTTGAATGAATTTCCCTATTCTTTTTTCTGGAAACCTCGGATGTATATAATCTTTATTTGTTGTAGACCGATTATTGACCGGCCTATCCGAGGCCGTGGTGGTCTTGGAAGAGGTCGAGGAGGACGTGGACGCGGAATGGGCCGAGGAGATGGATTCGACTCTCGTGGCAAACGTGAATTTGATAGGCATAGTGGAAGTGATAGATCGTAAGTCTTATATTGGTTTTTATTATATTATATTTGAGTCTACTTTTTTTTTTTTTTAATAAAACAAACTTTCAATTTCTAGAATTAAAGAGGATTATGTTAACTCAGTTTTGTTAGTTCTTTCTCACATTACAGTGGCCTGAAGCACGAGGACAAACGTGGAGGTAGCGGATCTCACAACTGGGGAACTGTCAAAGATGAATTAACGTTGGTATTCTGATTTTTTAAAATAATTTTAATAAAATTGACCCTATACCTTACTAGAGGCTCGTCCATAACTCTTAAATATTATTTGTCCCTGGGACAAGAATGGAATAACTCTTACCTTATAGCTAAATATCTTGTATATCTTCCATACAACATAACCTCTTGTTGGATATGTTTAGATTATAGTTATACGAAGTGACCAATTTTTTCATATTTCAGTATATGTGATAGCAGTTTTTCTTTTCATATGTATATATAGCTTTTTCTGAAACCCTGCATTGAAGTTGTTTGGGTATTCTTATTTCTGTGTCTTTAATAGTTTGTAGCTATTGACCCTTCTGGTTATTGGAAAAATTTGATAAGCAAGTGAGGCATTATTTTAAAACTAACTTCTGTCCTGTTTCTTTTTGAGTAAAATACTATAACTTGGATCAGTATACATTTTTAAATTATTTCCTCTTAAAGGTCTACTGGAGTATACATTTAGTAGGAAAAGACACAGGGAATGTGAGGATTTTAAAATATTTTTGTATAATGAATTCTTCAGCTACATGTAAATGGACCTAGATGCCTTTCTTTTTCTTTCTTTCCTTAGAGAGTCCCCAAAATACATTCAGAAACAAATATCTTATAATTGCAGTGACTTGGAGCAACCAAATGTGACTGAGGAAACACCAGAAGGTGAAGAACATCCAGTTGCAGACACTGAAAATAAGTAAGTTGGTTTATGTATAGTAGTAATGCTCCGTCACTGAAATCAGTTTGGACTTTTACCAAGAAAGCATATAGATTTAATTCTGTTACTTGATGGGTTTTTAACAGAAGAGACTTTCAGGGTACCCCAATTAATCAAGTAGTGTTTATATAGAGGAGTGTTTTACACATGTATATATTGGTATATTGGGCTCTAATGATTTGAAAAATGGAAATGGTTATTTCTATTTAAAACTACCATTGCTGTTTTAAAAACAATAAGGGAAGATAGTAAAACCTGCTAGCCCCAAGCACAAAAATTAACTATTATAATCTCAAAATAGAGAATAAGATGCTATGCATTTTACCTAATTAACCTTGCTTGATAGAGATAATGGTAATAGATATATAAGTAATGGATAATTCAAGTGATAGCTGTCCAGAGACATCAAATAGGCGAGAACTAGAATTTGAAATTGGGGGTTACTAAATATTAGACCAAATGGTTGAGATAAGAGAAGTTGTATATAGAACTCATAGCTCAAAGTACTTTGGAAACTATAACTGCAGGTTTTATTTTGAGACAGTTTAAAACTAGGAAACATGACTTTAAAATTGCATCTCTTTGAAATTTATTTTCCATCAACATTGGATTTGGAACATAGCATTATTGACTTGCTTTAAAATATATGAAGAGAGCAAATGCCAGAATATGTTATTCACTAGATTTCTTAATCTTTTTCATTTTCTGTGTGAGAGTCTTTTTAGGTAGAAGACCTGGTTTTGAAGTTTTTATTTATTCCAGGGTGAGAGTTTTAAAAAGTTTCAAGTTATGCTGGTAGAAATAATTTAATGCCTTTCTCTAGTTTCCATCAATCAAAGCAGAAATTATATGCCAGTCATTTCTTATGGTATTGTGGTTTAAAGTCTTGCATTATAGATTACTTAGGTCTAAATCTTAACTGGGGCATATTCAAATCAATCGGAGGAGATGCTTTTCTAAACTTTGCTTTTTCTTAAGGAAGAATTGCTCTTACAGTGAACTATTACTAATGATTAGGGTATCATATTCCATGGGTTTATTGGAATAATACATTTGCTATTATAGGAGACAGTAGAAAAAATACATGGTGTTAAATGATTTGTTGAACTTAGATAAATTCATTTATATGAAACTATAGAATAATTTATTTGGTAAACAATGAAATTGTGGATGCATAAATGAGCCTCATGTAATATTGAGTACTTCACAATGCTCAATACAACCGTTCTTCCTTTAATAAAGAGTCCATATTTAAATCACCGTAAGTGTGACCTGCAAAGATTATAAATGTCTACCAGAAGGAAATCATGCATTATTGATAGGGTATTGGAAGCAGATCTTTAATTCAGGACCCAGGAATGAAATTGAGGGTATTTGGTCTAAAAAAGATTATGATGATGGTATTAAGAACAGTCTACAGAGTGGAGAGAATCTGAACATAGTATTGTATCTTGTGTATGGAAATACAAATTTATAAAGCAGTGCTTGGCTGACTTTGACTCCCTTATAAATAGTTTCCAGAGCATTTGTTTTGTCTCACTTGATCCTTACAATAATCTTTGAAGGTAGGTGTCATGGTTCCATGTGACAAAATGTGCTGAGTTACATTACATTCTTGGCTCTGTCACAACTTAGGAGTAACTAGGACTTTTTTTTCTTAGCTCTTTCATCTGTAAACTGACAGCTGGACCTTATATCCAAATCTCATCAATTCAATGTAAACTTGAAATTTTAAGGTAGGATTAGTCAAACAGTACAGAGTAGCATAGAAGAGAGAGATATTTGAGCTCTGAGGCTAACTGGATCATCTGCTATCTTTGGAATAAAGCAGAGCTCCCAGAATAGCAAACAACTTGTTTGGTGACAATTGGAAATTGATATTAGATTAAAATAATGGATTTCTAGGCTTGCTTTCTGCAAAAATGGAAACTCATAATAGTTATAATCTAAGAATTACATTTAGAAATAACTAATTTACTATTAAGTATTGAAACCAGTGTGTTTTGTGGAGAGTTTCATTTCTAGTGAAACCTCAAGTCTCCCGCCCAGTCAGGTTGGCTTGAAAATTGGCATATATAGAATCTAGGATTTGTATAAACCTGGGTTTTAAAGATTCTTTTGTTTTGCCATCAGCGTTATCCTAAAATAAAGGATAGAGGAACAGTTCTTTTTATATTCTAGAATGTGAAGTGTGGTTCACAGGCATGCTAGATGATAACATGAGTTATGTATTGTGGGAAATTAAAAAAAATGTTCTAGAAGTTAGGCCAAATATTTTAATTATGTAACGGTACAGTTTTAAGAGAAAGTAGTGTTATTTTATGAAATGTGTATTTTAGCCCCAGTAGGGGGAGGCTTGGTTGGAGCATCATCCCATGCATCAAGGAGATCGCGGGTTTGATTTTTGGTCAGGGTACATACCTAGCTCACAGGTTCAATCTCAATTGGGGTGTGTATGGGAGGCAACCAGTTGATGTTTCTCTTTATGTTTGGTAAAGCCAATTTCAGGTTGTATTACTGATAGATGAGCATTTAAAAGTTTATGAAGATGAATTGTGTTTTTCTTACTTATCCATACTTTCACTAATACAACAAGCATTGAATACCTGGTGTCTACCAAATTAATGTTAGCCATTGGGTTACAAAAATTATGATCCTTCCACCCTTGGATAATTTTCCCTAAAAGATTGATTTACCAAGATTTAACTTCTTACAAGTAATAAAGATTTTTGTCAGCCACGTAGTAGGTATAAAACTTAAACATCTTTTCACAGGGAAAACGAAGTTGAAGAAGTAAAGGAAGAGGGTCCAAAAGAAATGACTTTGGATGAGTGGAAGGCTATTCAAAATAAGGACCGGGCAAAAGTAGAATTTAATATACGAAAACCAAATGAAGGTGCTGATGGTCAGTGGAAGAAGGGATTTGTTCTTCATAAGTCAAAGAGTGAAGAGGTAAAATTAGTTTTATGGTATTGGAAAATTTTTAGGTGTGTCTTGACAATTCAACACATAATTTTTATTTGTAATCTATAAAAAAGAAAAGCTTTGCATAGTGTCATTGGGTTAGGTAGATTGTTCAAAAAGGAAAATAAACTGCATTACCAAATAAACTGCATATTTTAAGAAATTTAGTCCTTCTACTTATTGTTATATTCAATCTGGTAGTCCCCATCCCCAAAAGCTGTTAGTCAATATATATCTTAAAATTACTATATTTCATAAATACAGTCGGTCTTTTCAGAGTTTTAAAAATCATGCCTAAATTCAAGGACTTGTATTAGATTGAAAGGTTGGCATTTTCATGTGGCTTAACCTACAATAAAATGAGTGCCTTTATACAGTATTTAATACTTGAAACTGTCTGCCTATGCCATATTTAATGGTCAGGACTCTTGAATAAATGGTACTACCCTTCTTTATTGAGGAATGATGTAAAGACCAGAAAATTAATTTACAGGTTTCCTTTACTTACAAAACATGGAAACTAATGAGAAAGATATGTTGGTGGCTTTTACTTTGGCATCTTCTGCTTAAGCCTTGGGGAACATTCTTAGAGGAATGTCCCATTGCTACATCCTTTTAGAGCTTGTGTAAGTATGATGTTTTAGTCATAAAGTTAAAATGTTATGAAGGCAACCTGTAATAAAAAGATGCAATAAGATCTTAATACATTTTAATTTCTTTAAAAAATAGTTGTGAAGGAAACTTGGAAACATTTTGAAATGAAACAGGTTGAAGTTTTAAATATTTTTCTAGATTTAGAGGTGTTTTTTAAAAACTGAGTCTATAAAAATAGTATAAATGAGGACATTGTCTTTTAAGTGTCAAGTCATACAGAAAAAAAACAGTTTAGAACATGTGGTTTTTTTTTTCATAGTTCTTTCAGATATAGTTGTATATCTGGGTAAAACAAATAGGATTTCAGATTAAAGAACTTTGAAAATTCTCCTTGGGGAGATTGTCGAACTAATTATTAAACTACTTAGGTTAATATGAGAAAGATTTATTGGGCACCTTTGAGATAATTATTTGTAACTGTTATGAGGTCCTGATAGAACTTTTCTCCAGAACAAAACACATACAAAATTATGATATAATTTTATAGGTGAGTCAATAATATCCTGAATCCTCTTCATGTAATTTATAGACCAGGTTAGGTATCATAGTTTTAAGTATTATTTTTCAGTGTGCTTTTCAGAAATAATTATACAAGGTGATGTATATTATTAGATATTTTTGAAACTATAAAATGTGAAATTGGTTATGAATAACAAACCAATACATTTTCACTATTAAGACACATTCATATGCTTTGCCAATTTATCCTACTAGTTACTCTAAGGTTAGGGATGTGTCCTCAACATTCAGAACTTAATATTGTAGTAAAACCTTTTAGATTGTTGCAGTAGTATATCAACTTAGACTTTTTTTGTTTCTGTGCTCTAGAAAATTGTAAAAGATCCTCTTTAATAGATTGATATTGCTTTGCAATAGCAAACATTTAAAAGTTAGACAGTATATATAATTGACTTTAATTTGCTAGCAATTTTTTGGACTTTTAGGCTTCTTTACAAAGACTTCTATTGCCTTTAGGTTGGTCTGACACTTAATTTGGTATTAGATGATTAAAGGGATGAAAGCATGGATACAAATATAACATTTATTTGTACTTTAAGGGTAGTTATTGACAATTGTAATATTTTTTTTGGTTTTTTTTGCAGACTGGGTCATGTAGCTTATTACAAAAATACAAAGGATCTGGATTTCACACAAACATGACGTTTTTATTTTTAAGATGGTTCCTTTAATATGTTTAAGGCGTAGTTTGACTTGGGTGCAGCTTTTCAAGATTCCCTTACGTAAAGTTGTGATTCTCTTGAATCTGTAGCTCTCCTGTTTATATGAAAGAACATATGAAAGTGTATGAATGAAAGTCTGTACACAGTTTCTTAACCTGTGGTTGGAAGAATATAAAGTTTTCTTTAGAACTTATAGATTTAGTATTATCAATAATAGAAGCCTTACATGCTATCCATGTCTTTATCGGGGGTTCCTTGATGGGAATCCTAATCTGAAGGCATATTTTAAATGTACTGGTAAAGATTATGATTCATTGGGTTTGAGATGAGGCCCAGTCACTTGAGTGGTTGTGATTAGATACCTCTAATTAAGATTTGCCAATATCACCTGTAATTTTTTTAAGTAATACTTTTATTGAATTCAGAGAGGGAGATAGAGATAGAAACATCAGCGATGAGAGACAATCATTAATCGGCTGCCTCCTCCACGGGGGATCAAGCCTGCAACCTGGGCATGTGCCCTGACTGACCAGGAATGAAAACCTTAACCTCCTGGTTCATAGGTTGATGTTCAACCGCTAGGCCCAGAAGAAAGCTCATTCCGAAATTTGCAGCATTACTTTCCTAGTAATCATCCAGTGGCTTTTACTTAAATTTTCAGGCTCACGCTGAAGATTCGGTTATGGACCATCATTTCCGGAAGCCAGCAAATGATATCACGTCTCAGCTGGAGATCAATTTTGGAGACCTTGGCCGCCCAGGACGTGGTGGCAGGGGAGGACGAGGTGGCCGTGGGCGTGGAGGACGTCCAAACCGAGGCAGCAGGACTGACAAGGTAAGTTTTAAAGATTTATTTTGTTCTTTTAAGTAATTCAAGGACCTCTTTTGGTAAATCACTGCTTAAAGTCCTTTGGGGGACATATTGGAAGGAAAAAAGGTAGACCCTGGCAGGATACTTGATTAGAGTGTTGTTCTAATATGTCAAGGTTTTGGGTTCAGTCCCCAGTCAGGGCATATACAAGTATCAACCAATGAATGCATAAATAAGTAGGACATCGAGTCAGTGTTTATCTGTTTCTCTCCCTCACCATTTGTCCCTCTTCCTCTTCTCTAAAATCAGTAAGTAAATTTTTTTAAAGAAACTACATTTTTGGTTATATATTTTTTAAAGTGTTTAAATGACCAAATAGTGCTGCCAGTAGAATTAAATTACCACACTTTATTGAATACTTAATTAGGTGCTGGTCGTGGTGCTATGCTAGGCATTTTATGTGCTGCGTCATTTGATTCATGTTACTATGTTGACATCCTCATTTTACAGAAGAGGAATTCAGTACAGGGAACCAAGTTAACTCTTGGCCTTTGACAGGGTCTACCTGAAATGCCAACCTATATCCTTTGCCTTCACTGGTTTTTTAGGTCTCAGTTTAACATAACCTTTGTGTCTATTGTTTATTGTGTGAAACTCAGATGATGGTCTAGTGAACACCTTTTGTTTATTTATTTTTTTAACTAGACTGTTACATAAGAGGTGGGATTCATTTTTGTCATGTTCAATGCCTTGCATATAGTGCACTTCACAAAACAAGTTCTTATGAAATATTTTGATATAGGCCCTAGTAATTGATAGATTTGAGCTCTGATCTGTCTGATGTCATAGTTCAAGCTTTTAATGTCTAGGTATTATTAAACTAAATCATTTGAGAAAACCTTTTAGTTAGTTCATTGTCTCTTATTGTCTATCTAGGATACAATCATGATGTCCTCCTGAATTTTTGAACAACTGATACACAAATTGGGGGACCCATTTGCTTGATTGGGTCTGCCAGTGTTTGATTATAGTAGCAATTTAAATATTACAGATTTTATGGTCACCAGTACCAGTGTAGTGATATTTTGTTTCTGTTTCTTCCCCTGATATCAGGTGTTTTTAAAGCCAATGTTATGTATGTGGACCTTTTCAATACTCTTGTTTTGTTTTGTTATTTGTACGTTATAAATAGCATTTGGCAGTTTGGTCCCATTCTAACATTGATGAATGTGCTGCTTAAATAATTGTAATCGGTTTGCGTTCAAATTATTGCCATTATTATTTAGCAAGTGGAGAAAATACAGAAATGCTTAACAAAGTAAGAATTTCCACACATATCCCATGTGAACCCACTTGTATGAGCATTAAAAAAATAAAATAAAAAAAACCCAGGCTGTTACTAGGGAATTTTCCTAGATCTTGATAGAAATTTAGGGCAAGACTCATTGCAAATATTTGTGACCCTAGTCTGATTCATAATTTTGCCTTTAAAAGGTTTGACACATTTGAGTATTTAATTAGTATTTTAACTTCAAGGTATTTTAGAGTTCTTATCTACATGTAGACACTGGCAATTTATTTTCAGGGTTTGAGCATTATTAATTTTGGTTTGTTTCTTTTTCAGTCAAGTGCTTCTGCTCCTGATGTAGATGACCCAGAGGCATTCCCAGCTCTGGCTTAACTGGATGCCATAAGATAACCCTGGTTCCTTTGTGGACCCTACTTCTCTGAGGTTTTGCATGCTTAAGGATCCCAACCGTCTAAGAAATTAAAAAAAAAAAAAAAAAAGACTGTCATTCATACCATTCACACCTACAGACTGAATTTTATCTGTTTTGAAAATGAACTTCTCTCGCTACACAGAAGTAACAAATATGGTAGTCAGTTTTGTATTTAGAAATGTATTGGTAGCAGGGATGTTTTCATAATTTTCAGAGATTATGCATTACTTCATGGATATTTTGTATTGCTGCTTGCAAATATGCGTTTCCAAACTTGAAATATAGGTGTGAACATGTGTACCAGTTTAAAGCTTTCACTTCATTTGTGTTTTTTAATTAAGGATTTAGATGTTCCTCCAGTTACAGACCGGTTTTAAATATTGGACATAATATCCGTTTTAGTACCTGCTTTGCATTTACACATATTGTCAACTGGGACATGTAAACTCTGATTGTCAAAATTTATGCTATGTGGAATACTAATGACTTTACGTATTTTAACTTAGTTTTAATATTTTTATTTCTGGGGAAAATCCTTTTTCACTTCTCATGATAGCTGTTATATGCTATATCTTTATATACAGAAATATCAGACTTGAACAAATTCAAAGCACATTGGTTTATTAATCCTCGCTCCTGCATAGTTCATTAAGTTCAATTTATAATTGATTGACAATTTCAACTATATTTAAAAGTGTGTGACTTTCCCATTTCAAAAACCAAACTAGACACCTTACAGTCTAATAGAAAGTTGTTTAAACTACTTATTGTTGAAAAACACATCCTGTCAGGTGAAATAGTTTTTTGGGTGTTGGGCTTTTCACCCTCCAACAGGGTGGGTATAACAAAGTTGACTTGGTTAATTCATAAACTGCTTCTGGCCACTCGATATGATTTGTTTGTGAAAGGTTCCAAATCAAAAATATATACCCATAATCAATGATCCTTTATCCCTTCCCTTCTAAAGAAACCAAAGGGCCTGGTTAGTATGGTAAGATGTGGGAGTGTGTTACTTTTTGGAATTTGGAAAGCAGACAGCTTTACTTTCTAAGGTTGGAACAGCAGCACCACCCATGAAATATAAGCCAAAAATCTTATTGATGCCTAATTTCCTACATTGCTGTTAGCTTTGGTCTTAAGTTGATAAATGACTGTTCCACAGAAAATATCTTTTACCTCTTCCTATATTAGAAAAGTAGGTTAATAATGGATTACTGAATGGGAGTGTCAACGCACTTAGTAAACATGTAGAGAATGATCAATAAACAGGTTTTCTAGGATTTTTAAAAAATCTGCCATATTTATTTTTAAGCAGAAAAGGAATTTTATTTAGCTTTAAAAAATTTTTGTCACTCATTTTCAGTAATTTTCTACCTATGTGTAGTAATGTCCAGTTTTTAAAATATTGAAAATCTTAAAGTCATAAAATGTCTGTTGTTTGCTGATTAGCTCTCCCATATACTTCCAAAAGAGATGTACAGTATAAAACTTATTCATTTGAGTTAGATTTATTAACCTAGTTACTTACTAGTTTGACATCTTATTAGGAAGGAGGTAATTGGTTTTTAATGATGAATAACTTGTGCTGATGATTTGAATCTTATGCAGAGTGTGTTCTGTACTGGTGCTAATGTCTAATATAATTTTATATTTACCAACATAACTGCTACCCAGAGGCAAGTGTTAAATTAGTCCATATGGACTCTTGATCCCTCCTAAGTTAGTGTGTTTGGACTTTTCATCTTAACTCATTTCTGGACTTGCAACCTGCTTATAAACCTCTTGATTTCTAGCGACATAAAGAAAACACCTGCTATTAAACACTTCACAAGTTCCACTCTGTCAGCCATTGCTGGCATTTTGTCAGTAGAAAATACACAGCAATATCTGATATGTTGCAAGCTTTCACAATAGCCTGAACTTTAAAAAGTTAGTCCATTAGTTGTATCTGATGGATGTAAATTTGCCTCCTAGTTCACTTTGTGTCAAGCTAAAACTGTGAACCTAACTTTCTTTTATTGGTGGGTAATGACCATTTCTCTTAGCATATCACATTTTGAATGCAGAGGTTAGTTATACTGAGCACCACTGTTTTTTGAAGGGAGTATTAAGCCGGATATCTATAATAATAAAAGCATAATATGCTAATTAGTCTGGACGACCTTCCGGATTAAGCCACGGTGCTGTGGGGCCAAGGCGGGGCCAAGGCAGAGGCAGAGGCAGCGGCTGTGGCTGTAGGGTCCGAGCCCCTTGCACGAATTTCGTGCATCAGGCCTCTAGTAATACTATAAAGAAATCCCTTGATACAGATCCATAAATAACAATTGTGGCTGATTGAATGTTTTAGTGAACTTTTATGGATCCTTTTAATTGGAAGTAATGCCAGAATTTATTTCTTAAGATATTTTCAGTTTGCATTGAAATGATTGGAATATGATTTCTTTTTTAGTTTAAATACTGTTTTGAGACCTGTGTGGAGTTATGAAAGATTTTTAAATGTGTCACTAGGTATTATATAGATAGTTAACTTTACTCACTTTTAAAAGTGGAAGCAGGACATACACATCATCTCCAGGGTTTAAATATATTTGGGGCTTATTTTTTGGTATGGGTTTGGAGGGAGTATATTAAGTAATCATTCTGAATGTGTTATTTTTCTAATCGCTAGTGATGATTGCACTGAAATAGAAAAAATCTTCTATCTTAGGGAGTTGCATATGAAGTCTAAATATTATATATTGGACTTCAAAAATAATCTTTAAGAGCACTAGCTTTGTGTTGAAGGAACAAACGAATATTAAAGGTTAAAAAAAATTAAGGAGAAATGTGAAACTGCTAGAACCTGATACTATGGACATCTATCCCAACAGTTAAGTAACTGGTATAACAAATCCTTGGCTCTCAGGTGCATGTAATTCTATTTTTTAAAGTAAATAGAGCGGTGGTTCTCAACCTTGGCTGCATATTAGAATTACCTAGGAATCTTTTTGAAATCCTGATTTCTGGGCCTCATCCTCCGGAAATTCTGTTTCTTTGTTACTAATGTTGTGACCCCACCCCACAACAAAGAAACAATTTCCGGAGGATGAGGACCAGAAATCAGGATTTTAAAAAGATTCCCAGGTGATTCTAATGTGCAGCCAAGGTTGAGAACCACTGAAATAGAGGCTTAGAAAATAGATTCTAACCCAAACATTTGTAATTATGCTGAGATTAACATGTAAATAAGTGTTTATTGGGTCTGAACCTTATAAAAGCCAGATCTCCAAGTTAAGTGGAAAAAGCCTATAAGTTAATTACCGTTATACTTTGCAGAGTAAAGTTCTAGCGACAGTGCAGTAAAATGATCTCTAATCAGGCTTCAGACCAAATTTAACAACATTTGCAAAATTGTCAGGTTTTATAGTTGAGGTATAGATTAAGTGTCAGCTTTCAGAAATTTGGGTTCAATTACTTTTTGCTCAGCCTGGGTTTACCTTGGATATGTTCTCTCCATTTGAGATTCTTACTTGATTTTGAAGTTGTGCAAATAGGAAGTTTATATGAGAAATGATTGGAATAGGTCTGTTTCAGTCTGAGAAGAATATAGTGAAAGGTTGTGTCCTAAAGAATTAGAAATTTTCAGAAAGTAATTAGGGTATAAAGATAAATGATTAAGGCCATCAAGATTTTGGCTACAAAAAAAAGTAGTAGTATGGAAGTGTCATTTAAATAAAGTGCTATATCTTCCTGGGGTCTGCAAATTTTCAGCCTGTGGCTTGTTTTGAAAGGGTTAGAAACAAAACTATTCTACAAAGATGTATGTAGCCCACATAGTTTAAAACATTCTCCGGCCCTTAACAGAAAACGTTTACTGAATCCTGATCTAAGCTATCACTCCTAGGTCAGCGCATATAAGAGTTTTTTTAAATAAAAGTGTTATTTTTAGCTACAAATTAAATCGTCCTACCCTGTGGGAAGTTGTGAAATCAGAAGTATTTTCAAGCAATTTTTTTTTGCCTCTTCTATACTCAGGATAAGGGCCAAAATATCTGGTTGCCACTTAGTAAAGATGATCTTATTTTAAGAAAAGATTGTGGAGTTTGCAACTTAAATATGTTACCCTAAAAGCTGTTAAGGAAAGTATAAATTTGCTATAAAAGTAAGCTTAATGCCATGGTTATAGTTTCATGATTCATGTTTAGTGACAGTTCTTGTCTCTCAGTGCTGAAATCTTTCTATTGTGATTAATTTTTCCATGAGATGAGAATTCTGAATGGGTAAGAAATCATGTCTGTTAACTTCATAGGTTGAGCTAGGACAAGAATGAATGACTTCTGAGGATTACTTTGTTAGGATATTCATTTGGGCAGTTTAGATTTTGTGCCATTGATGACTTCTGTACTGAATAACTGGGAGTCAGTTGTTCACTTCTAAATGGAAGGAAAGAAAAGGTGAGAAATGGCCTATACAAGTTAGAAAATAATTTACCAAATTGTTAGTTTGAGGTATTATGTAGGTACTTAGTGCTTTAAATCAGTAACCTTTGTCCCTTTTGCTGCCCATTTGGGGGAGAGTAGCAGTTCCCGGTGCATTGTATGTTTATTCTAAGCCTTGTGCATTCAAGACAAAAGATAACTGGTGATAACGTTTATGAGAATTCTGATTATGGATTTTTTAACCTATTTAGATAATGGATTCATATCAGGTAATGAGAATTGCTCTGAATAGATCTTGCTGTGGTTTTGATTACTTATAATAGCTGCATTACTGGTATGGAAATGTGAACAGTGAAGGGTTAATATTCAGGATTATGACACCTGTTATTTGGTGAACTGAGTAGGGAAAATGGGAAATAGCTTATCTTTAGGCATTATTATTTATATCACCTAATCGCAGTTATAGCTGATTTAACAGACTTTAGGAACTTTAAAAGACCTCTAATTGGAAGAAATAGCATTTTTATCTATCTAGAATGATGGTTCTATATAAAGTGATCCAGCTGAACTTGGTTCTTGACATTTGACTGCATAGAATTTTGTCAAATTGCATTAAATTTTTTTATTAGCTAAATGTCAAGAACTTGAGGAACTTTGCATGTTGGAATTCCTTGTTTCACGCCTTGGATGTAATAATCCATGGTGAAATGTTGCTTTGTTTGGCAACCAACCACACTCTGACAATAATAGGCCAGCACATTTAGACATTTTGTGCTTAGACTGCCAGGGGCTGTTTTGGAAATTGATGACTTAAACACATCAGAGAAGTTGGTAGATTCCTCTCTACCCCTTCCAATTTTATGCCTGAAAATGTTTAGGATTTAATAATTGGTGAATTGAACTAAACACCGGCAGATAACTTTTCAAAGATAGTTGGTTTGTCTTCTCCCTGGAAATTCTGAATTTCCAATGAAGCTTCCACTGTTTTTTTTTCTCAGTAAAAAAGGAAGAACCTTTCTTACAAACTACAAATAATTTGGTTTCGACTTGGTCTTGTGTACACAAACCTTACATGTACAAGGCTTCACTTAGGTGCTATAGTTTAGGAGTGTCTGAGGAGTGCTTGGGAAGACTGGATTGGATAAAGCTACTTTTAGGACATGTTCATTGGTCACTAGCATAGGAGAAAAATCACATACCTAGCAGGTATAGTGTGTACTACAGACCACTGTATTTTGTTCATTATAGTGTTCTTTGAAGATTGAGTGGCACTTTGTCACTTTCTCGACAAAATCCAGTATATCAGTTTTTAACAATTGGACTGACCTCCCTGCCTTTTGCCAAAAAGTAGAATTGGAAGTCATGCTGACTGAAGCAGAGAAGTGGTTTGGAGGCTGTGTAATGAATGCTAAGTGAAAATACTTGGCATGTGAGAAATAAATTCTCTTCAGGAAAAATTGGTAATGTTTATCATGAACAAAAAACAAACCTGTACTGTTGATTGAGGAACATAACTAGCACCTCCAAATTATAGGAGAGCATTAATGTGCACACACCCCTTTTTTCCAACATCATCACTTTTGCTACTAAGTTATTACACTTTAAAGTGGGTGTTTTAAAAAACTCAATTGCATTGAAAGCTACCCTGCCATAGACAGGAGAGGGTAAACTGAAGGAAGTGTGTATAGGAATGCAAAGGAATCTTGTGGAGCTGTAGCATAAGTATGAGAAGAACCACAGGAGAGATGTTATTTTCTACAGTGTTGAGAAAAGAAGGCAAATGGTCTTTTACTCCCTTTCTGTTGGAATAAAGTGAGATTTTTGTTTCTAAATGAGATCCTGCAGTGTCCTGTTTTCACCCTGAGGGATTTTTTGACTGGTGAAGGCTGGGTATGGGGGCCTTTTGGACTTGGTACAGCACAAGAAACTATCCTCGGGTTCACACAAGCCACATTCTCACCTACTCTGCAGGGAGATGTGTAAGCCATTTTAGCAAGTGAATTGTGATTTTCTTTAGTAAAGGAACAAATTTTAATGTTTTTGCAGCTTTTGAATATAGTGAAAATTTCTTGTTTGTGGGTGGGCCTGCCTGTCCAGTGGTAATTTAGGGCCTTTCAATACAGCTTATTCTCTGTGAGAATCTTATAACACCTTTTACAGTATTTCCCTGGCTCCTATTACCTATAGGTAGTAAAATGTCTGAAATTGGCAAGGGAGAAAAAGCTATTTTGAACCTTGCCTACATTCTCTTGCCTAGACAAGGCCAGGGTTTTATGGAATACCTTAAAGTTGTGGAATTTGAAAAATGGCCCCAATTGACTTAAAGGGACCCCATTGTAGCACATAATGCGTTTGTATATTTCCTAGAGATGTTACTGAAATTTAAGCAGAACCTACTTAACCACTTGTACGTAAATGACCACTAACAACATGTGCAGCCAGTTACCATAGCGTAAAGGACAGGCATTTATGTTTTAATACCAGCAACAAAATTGAGTTATATAGTCCCTAATTCCTTTTTGCTTAGGAAATAATAGCCTTCATGTTGGGGAAAAAAGCAGTAGACAAATCCAATGGGGTTATAGCTATTATAACTAAAGAGCACAATTTCTCTGGTTACTTTTCTACTTAAAAGGCTTAATGATATTTATAGCTTGAAATTTCCATTTATAGTTTTCTTAATATAAATGGATTTTCTTGGGAGTGTTCTCTCCTTTCTTTGCCTACCTATGCCTTGTAGGATTTAGATTAGCTGGGTAGATAAATTAACAAATTCAGGAGTACCAGGTTTGTCAACTTAAAAAATTTACCTGTGTGGTTTTGTTTGTTTTTAAGGTAGATTTCTTAGGAACCAAGAGTGATCTAGGACTTTGGAAGTATGGAAATGCCAGGTTTTGGTTATTTAGTAAAAACAGCTCCAAAGATGGCATCAGTTTTAACCCCAATTGATGTTAAGTTTGTAGAGCAGTCATTTGCATAGGAAGAACTGTATAGCCGAAAGTTATGCCCTGAAACTAGACTGTCCTGTATTGGGTACTAGTGTGACTTTCGCTAATTGTATTTCAGTTTCTTTTTCTGTATAGTGGTCTACCTTAAACCAGCCATGGTGAGAACTGAGTTACATATCTTAAAAACAGCATGTACTGAATATGATCCTCACTATCCATGGTTCCAGTTCCACAACTGAGGATTAAAAGTATTCCCAAAAAAATACATTGTTGCTGACATTGTACAAGGGACTTGAGCATTCAACAATGTTGGTATCTGAACAGGGGTGGTCCTGAACCAAACCACAGAGGATACCAAGGAACGAATATACTGTGTTATGTGTTGAGTGGGAATTTGGCAATATTTGGCTTGTTATATAAACTTTGTATTTCAAAGATGCATTGCTTCAGTTATTACCTTAACGTCCCCAACCTCCACTCACCTAGGGTGTCATAATGAATTTTCTACCAACTGACAGGCGAGCTAAAGGTCAGTGAAGGTGTCAGGTGGAGGATGAAAGAGATACGGATCATAAAGAAAATGGTTGGTAGTGTCTTGACCCCTTGTGTCAGGTCTTTGGGGGAAAGATTGGTTATATTTAGTTGACTTATCCAATTATCAGAGTAAGGAGTATTTAATGAAAAGAATGCAGAAGTGTGATTTAAAAACCTATGGCTAGAAACCACTATTACCATTTTTGTGTATATTTCAAAAACTTTTGCACTGATTTATAAAGATGATGTGATCATTCTGTTCATTTTTTTTGTAGCTGACCATTTCTATGTCAAATATTGTTACACTTTTTGAAAGATTGCATAGTATGCTTTTCAATTCTAAGATCCATTCCAATTTCAGGCATTTCAGAGGGTTAGGGGCTCGTGCACCATAGAAATTGAGGCATTTTAGTTTAGTTAGCATTTTTTCTTATTCAGAGCATAATGAAATAAGGGTAATGGTTTTGTATAGATGATTTAGCCAAGTTCCTACTAACAGGCCCTTCTGGTTTAATCAATGCTGTGATAAGTCTTATTCAATTTGTTATTGATAAAATCTGTTCTTTAGTCTACATTTGTAGGAGTGGAGTTGTGTATTCAAATTTTAAAAAATATTGCCCAGCCTGGCCTTTGTGTCTGGTTAAACATCGACCGATAAACCAGGAGGTCAGGGCACATGCCTGGGTTGCAGGCTCAATCCCCAGTAGGGGGTGTGCAAGAAGCAGCCAATTGATTTTCATTGATATTTTTCTCCCCTCTCCCTGTCTCTGAAATGAATAAAAGCATTAAAAAAAATACTGCCCCGCCTCCAGAAAGAAGCTAGCTAGCATACCTGGTTACAAACACCCAGTTTCTGGTTATTCCTTACATTTTGCTAATTTGGTAAGTGAAAAGTGGTGTTCAATTTTCATTTATTTGATTGCAGGTAATTGTTTTCTTAATGCTTGTTGAGCATTTAATGTTTTCTGTTTCTTAATCTATTTTCTTTGAAGTATTATCTTTTTTCAAAATGATCTGTAAGAATGTGTTATTTTTGGCACATGTTGCAAATATTCTTTTCTAACTTGGTGTGTGGGGATTTTGCAAATTTTTAATTGGAAATTTATTCCAGAATAGGCTGATGTAAAGATATGACTTGTTTCTTTAGTTGTCCATTAGCCAATTGATTGAATTATCTTTTTGGGGGGTGGAGGGGAGGAGAGAAGAGACCTTTCTAGAGCAGGGGTGGGGAACCTTTTTCTGCCAAGGGCTATTTGGATATTTATAACATCGTTTGGAGGCCAAGCAAAATTATCAACTTAAAGATTGACCTGCTATATTCGGTCAAACAATTAAATTACCCTTAATGCCTGGGTAGGGCCAGACCAAATGATTTCCTGGGCCTTATACAGCCCATGGGGCTGGACATTCTCCACTCCTGTTCTAGAGAGTAGTTTGAGGATTCACCTATCCTAAAGCTTGGGTAATGTGAACACCCATGAGTCCTGTACGTTAGAAAGAGAAAAGCAGGGCTCCTACACGATAAGTGTGTCATGTGAAGGGAGAAATTTCAGAAAAACCAAGAATCAAACGGATTCGCCGGAATAGAATGCCTAGCTTGGCATCCTTTCACTGGCCTCGGGCATTGGCGAGTTGCAGCTGTAGGCTATTAATGGAAACTGGGAAATTGGGACAGGGTGGAGGGGGAAAGACAGTAAAAGAAAAGAACTAGATAGCACTAGTTTGTTTAAGACAAGTCCAGGAAATAGAATCTCTGCCTCCTAGGAAAGGCCCCTTTCAAGGAACAATTCAGAGTTGGATTTCTGCACAAGGATTAGTGGTGGAGAGTCAAAGTATCCAGTACGTTTGAACTTGGACTTTATAATATTTCAGTCACAGAAAACAAAGAAATTTAATGTGTTTGAATAGAGCAGAAATTTCTGGATTGGCTTTGGATGTATATTGGGAGTGAGGATTTAAATAATTGCTGATTTTCTTGAGGAATGAAACTGGTTGTTCGGATATTGGTGAGGTCCACCTAGTCCTGGTAAATTAAGCAACCTGACTTGGGATTTTGTGTGGGCAGAAGAGGGGTATGTGAAATTACTTAGTGCAAGGACAGAACAGTGTTACCCATCCTCTGTCATTCATGAGAAGAGGACATTTTCTCTGGCAATGTGAGCAGCCAATGTCTTCCTCAGATATGTTTTTAAATTCTGCTACATGTGTAACAGCAGTACTGCCAGTGGACAGCAGGGCAGAAGGGGGCGTTGGGGATCAACAAATGCAAACTCAGTTGTCCCAATAAAGAGGAAGCACACACAGCTAGACTGGCTGCTGGGACAGAAGGGACACAATGAAAGTGTGGCCGGTGACATCTCTTTATTGATAGCCTATCCTGTACCTGGTATGGTGTTGGAGAAGATTGCATGTTCCCACCTTCAAGTTATTTACAGTCCAGAGGAAGTAGACTATAGGCATCATGCTAGGAGAGCACAGAGGAGACCTCTGCATCCTTAGAAGGAGAAGCCTTTAGGAGTCCGAGAAGTCTCCCTGTTTAATAATTATTTTTACTTTTTTAGGAAAACAAATGACTGCATTATCCCCTGGGGTTTTAAGGGAACAGAAAGGAAGGGGGGGGGGGTCAGGGGGAATGAGGGTGTAAGGAAGACTGGGAGCTAGCTATCTGGGACCAAGTGGAGAAGGACAGAGTGACTTAAGATGGAAAGGTAATCCAAAGAAGATCAAGGATTATAAAACAAGTATTGCAAGAAAGAAAAGTTGGCTTCCGTTGTCAAGAGGTGATAGATTGGCCGCCACCTAAGGAGGTATCCTTGTCTTGGCCCATTGCAGACAAATGAGGCACCACATCCTGGGTGCAAGCAAGCCAGTTATGGAGCTGCTGAGATGCAAGGGACTACACACAGCGGCTAAAGAGAATTGAACAGATGAAAGGAAGGAAAAGCCTGGGAGAAAATATGTTAAGTCTGGAATGGCAAGAGCATGGGTGAAGAGTTAGACATGTCTAACATGAACAAACAGACCAATGTTTGTTACTTCAATTGCTGAGGCTCTGAGGGACACATGCCTCAGTTCCAGTGGGTGGGATGGGGGTAGGAGGTAGGTCCCATGCTTGACAGAGATTTAAGAAAAAAAAGTCTCGGACCTAAAAGTTACTATCAGCAATTGAATTGACCACCAGCTTAACAAATGCCTGCAGTGACTGCATAGAGGCAGTGATGGGTAAGGGGAGGTGACAGGCCAGGGCCACAGATCTAACAGTAAAGTATGGCTCATGTTCCGAATTTGTGCTGAGGAAAAGAATTGTGAGGACCAGTGCAGTTTTCCCCAAAAAGGAAAGCAGGAAAGATGACAGGAGTGTGGCAGCCCACTCCCTTTTAAGACACCTGATGTTCGAGGGGAGGCTGCTTGCTCAGGGTCCTAAGGTGGGTGTACAGTAGCTCTCCACCATCAGGCTGCTCTGGATTCACTGCATGATGAAGGCAAAACAAACCAAACTAGCGAAGCCAGGGGGAAAAATGCATTCTTAGGCCTCCACAAATAAGGACAGTCAGAACCATCTTGGAAATCCTTTTATATTTGTGTTTACCAGGGTCTTTTATGTCAATTGTAAAACTAGGCTGATCTGTTTTGAAGGCTCCCCCTGTATTTCTCACCAATGTGTCCACTATCTGTAGTTGTGCTGAATACAGTAGCCATTAGCCATGTGTGACATAATTAAAATCAAAATTCAGTTCTTCAGTCATATTTGGCACATCCCAAAGAGTCAACAGCCAGTACTGAACAGTGCAGTTAGGCTGGTGAGACATAAGACCTGGTAGGTAGTAGCTGCTTTTTAAACAGTTGTGTGAACAGTCCTCAGGACTATATGCCATTGCCAGTAAGAGCTTTGGTTTCCACTCTGCAGCAAAGCCCAAGGAAGTTGTGGGGACTTAGTCTGGAGTCTGTAGGTCCACGCAGGGAACGATGTAATAATATCAAGCCTCCAGAGAAGGCAAGGTGAAGTATCTGGGTTGCAGCCAACTCGCAGTTCCTGAGATCAACCTGAGCCGGCTTGACTGCCCTCTAGCTGCAACCAGACCTAATGGTAGCACCAGAGGTGATGACAGCGAGCAGAGGGCTGGGTCGATGGGCCTGCTGCGCTGGTTGGGAGCACTTCAACTTTCCAAGTTTCAAGCTTCACTCAAAGCATGAGGGGACCGCACCCCATCTTTAACCGATCCAAAGTCAGCTTCTCGCCACAGGAGAAGGGGAGTGGTTGCAAGGTACTTGAGGGGAACACAGAAAGGGAGATGTGCTGAGGCTCCAGTTCTTCCGGGGGCTCGGTTCCAGGAGCCTCGTGTGCAGGGAGGTAATCTATATTGGAGGGTAAGTAGCCCTCCTGGGTGGGAAGGTAGTCCCCTGGGAGGACCCGCGAGGGGCTTGCTGGGTTTCCTGGCTTTGAGTTGGGGCTCCTGCTCCCCAGCACCTTGTACAGATCCCCTAGCTGCCCTGTCTCTGCCGTGAGAGCTCTTGGAGGTGGTAATCTCGAGGCACTGTACCCTGTTTCCTCAGAGGTATAGTGACCTTGGTCTCCTTTTCCCTTCTCTGGCCAGTTGGCACGAAGGAGCTGTCTGAAGACTGGGGTCACTTGATGCAAGACTTCGCTGATGACCAGGGGCTCGGGTTCTTTCGGAGCGGGCCCGTCTGTCAGGAGCCTCTCCACGGGCAGCTGCACCTCCTGAGATGGGAGGAAGAAACTCAGGGCTATGCTAAGTGAGTAGCCTGGACAACTGACTTCTCCAGGTTCCAAAAGGCCTCGGCCAGCAATACCTAGTCAGCTCAAGGTGGACACCGGGCCCTTGGTGAGGTAAGAAAGCAGTTCATATTGTCAGGGAGGAGGACAGCAGGAGTCCTGGGGTCCTCTCCCCCCCCAGCCAATGAGTGATTCACCGCCCTGCTCCACCGTCAGCCAGACTGTTTCTGGTGAGTCAAACTGCACTCGCTGCTTTTCCTCTGGGATGGAGGCATACTGCGTGCAAAGGAAAGGCTGGGCTTGCCTCTGTCTGGGGGAGGAGGCAGGGAAAACTATAAAAGGGTCAGACCAGAACTGAATCCTGAGAAGCAGAGGATTTTTTCAGATAGGTTGTGAACAAGAGGACTGGTCTATTCTGGAACCTGCTAGCTGTTAACGACAGGCAAACTGAGGCTTCAGAATTAGGAGGAGGTCCCATGGAGGGCTTTTAAGGGATGCTAAGGAGTTTGGGTTTTGATACAACTACTGAAAGGTTTTAGGCAATATCTTTATCAGTTCTACTCTAATGAATGACCCTTCTAGCATAACTTTTGGAAGAAATTTTCATTCTTTTCCCCCCTGTAACTAACTTTCTCTTGCTTACCTTCTCAACAGCACATTGGTTACCAACTCTTCAATGTCCTGTCTCTCCTTTCCAAACTTGCTGCTGATCCCTGATTCCAAGTCCCAGCACTTTATTAGCATCTATTGTAAGGGGCTTCACTGGGCTCTCCTTGCCTCCTGGAAACCACCTTCACGCTGACTGATCAAGCAAAGCTCCGAAGCCTTTCAGGGCTTGGACTTCCATATGCAGTAAAGCTCCCAGCCCTGACCTTACCCATCAGATTCCTTCCTCCACTTCCCCATGTTTTTGTTCAGAAATTACTCCAGGCACACCATCCTACTCTTATTAAACACAGTTTTTTTCTCTCTCTATGCCACACTTTTGCTTCCACTGCCAGCCTCTAACGGCTTCCGTTTATGGTACCATCCCCTGCTTGACACCTTCCTCTTTCTGTTTTCTTTTTTCAGATGTTTTTATTGATTTCAGAGAGGAAGGGATAGGGAGAGAGGGATGGAAACATCAATGATGAGAGAGAATCCCTGATCAGCTGCCTCCTGCACACTCCCGACCAGGGATCGAGTCCGCAACCAGGAAATGAACCGTGACCTGCTGGTTCATAGGTTGATGCTCAACCACAGAACCACACCAGCCAGGTACCTTCCCCTTTCTTGAAGCCCCTAATGACGGCTGCCTCCACTGAACTACAGTAGGGAAGCAAGCTCCTGTTAGGTTATTGGCACATGGTGCTTTATAATGTCACTCTTTAGAAACATGTCTGAGCATGTCAAAGCCATTTGTAAACAGGGACCATGTCTTAAGGGAGGCTTAAGGTGATAAAAGATAGCCTTGGGACAGGGCAAACCGTCAGGACTAGTCCCAAGTCTTGACACCTTCCGCTTGGGAAAACAAGCTCTGTGGCCTTTGATCCCCTCATCTGTCAGATGTCAAGAGTGATTTGGTCTGGATTGGCTCTGATGTCCCTTGCCTTGCCTGGAGCATGAAAAGTTTCTAAAAAGTGAATGATGGTGCTGTCTCAGGACAGACTTCTGCCAAGGCCCACAAGCCGGAGGGTATGTGTGTGTTTCTATTTTCTGGATCCCTGCCCACAGTGGTGCTGGTGTGTGGGTGTGGCTTGGAACATGGCTGGTGGCTCAGGGTGTGGAAATGGCTCCTATCACAAGGTGAGGCGTTCACCTGCCTTCCTAAAAGCTTGGGCAGTGCTGATAGAGCTGTTTCTTTGATAAAGCAGGCCCTGTGGCGGACAGTCCTGGGGCAGGGCCGTCTAGACCACCATTAGCTCATGTGCCTCATGGACACTATTTTAAGATTTTACAAGCTCAAAATGGATTAGCATTCCAGTGATCCCCTTTATGGTTTGGCTTTTTCCTCCAGAGCTTTAAGACACATGTTTTTTTAGCCACATGTTAAGAAATGGTAGGGGCACAAAGGGCCTGAGAACAGAAAATGTTTTGTTGGAGTTGTAAGACTATTGTAGTTCTGACATCTGCCAAATCTGCCAAATGTCAGAGTGATCTGGTCTGGATTTGGTCTGTCACCAGGAGAGCAGTTTGGGTCTTTAAAGCCAGACTACTCACTTCAGAGGTCAAGTGACACAGGGCTCTGAGGCTGTCTCAAGGCCTTCATTACAGATGCCATGTCCAAGTTAAATTTTTACAGTTTTCTAATTTACCAGTTATTTTTACAAAAGATATATAGTTTTGTAAGAAATTTTAAAAATTCAAAGCAAATTTATGATGAAAGTTAAGTCACCCTCATATCTCCAACCCTTTCCCCAAAGGCCACTCCAGTTATCAATTTTACATGTAGGCTTCCAGAAATATCTGTGAGCGTGTAGAGGGCTGTGTGTATAAAATCTCTCTCCTTTTTATGCAAATAAAAACCCACTTTAGAAACTGTTGCAAACTTTTTTTTTTTACTTTTAAATATCTTAGAGATTTCTAGACACATATCTTTTTAAAAAAAATAACTGTATAATATCCTGCTGTATGAATATACTCAAAATATTCAACCTGTCCTCCTAGTGGCAGCTTACATTATGCCCAATTTTGGGCTTCTATTTATAGTGCTCTAATGAACATATTTATACTATATGACTTTGGGTATGTGTGTGGCAATTTCTGTAAACCTTTTTCCGTGTTATTTTCTCTAACCCTTTGTGTGTCTTTCTTAGCATTTCTTGTAGGCTTTTTATGGGCTCTTGTCATACCCACACCTCCAAAGCTACCAGCTCGGAAGCCAGGTGTCGGTGACTGACTGGAGCTGCTTCCCACCATGCTATTTCAGGCTTTTAGGAGATGAGACAGTGGTATCTCAGCATTGGAAGAAAGTGATCTTAAAGCTAAGCTGGTTCAACTCCTAGTCCTTGAATCCCCTCTAATGCTGGCAGCGGCGTCCTTACAGAGTGCATTCCACAGGTCATCACAGTATTGCCACTAAGTGAGGGCCTCTCAATCTGTTCAGCTCCGAGGCGCTGACTTTGAGAAAGACCCCTCATACCCAGTGCTTAAAGATCTTTCAGAAGGAATGGTATAGTGGTGGATGGCACATCCCGCTCTTATGTGGATTTGGGATCCACCATTTACTAGCTGACTAACATTGGGCAGGTTACTTAGTCCTCTGTGCCTCAGTTTCCTCATCTAAGAAATGAGGATAATAGCACACCTTCATAAAGCTATTGTATGGATTAGATGTTACCACATGAAAAATGTTTTTTCAAAGTGCCTGGTATATGTAAAGTAACATATATGTGTATATAAACAATACACTTATATACCCTATAATTATATATCATGCAGATGATATGTAATATATGAAAAATATATACATAAAATTTAAAAGTATACATAAGCTACTGCTATTATTACTGTTCTTGCTATGATAACTTAACAGTGATAAAACCCCTAAACAGGCAGAAGGGACATCAAGTATGAGTCTTCCTGGGAAGAAAGTGAATGATCGATCTTTGTTTTGTTTAAACCATGTGCTTTACATTAAGAATAATCTTTACTTTTCTTAATCCTCATAACAGTATACATGGGAGATACTATCAATTCCTACAGAGGGTAAAATTAGGGCTCAGATGTTAGGCAAGTTGCCCAACGGTTATCCACATAGTAAGGGGCAGAGGAGGGGTTTGCATCCCAGCCTTATCTCAAAGGCACTAAACTGCAGGGACTGAAATCCTATTGGGGCAGACATGGCTCAGACCAGCCCTTTCCCTAAGCAGTCGCTTGTACCACTGGCTTCTGGCCTGAGGAAGGGTGTGGTTAATAGAATACACTGGGTATTTGAAGAGAAGAATCTTGGAGGAGAAGGGCTATAAGGTGTGGAGAATATTTGCATACCGTTTTCCTCCCCTCTGCTTTCCATAAATGCACAGTCTTGCTCCATATTCAGATGTCTTAAGCTTCCAGACCTTCCACCAGAGATGGACCATCTGGCCCACTGTGAGCTGTTCTCACCTCCTCAGACTGCACAGCAGCGCCTCCCTTTGCTTCCTCTCTCATCTGCCAGCTGAGCAATCTCTCCCCTAAAACCCTTTCCATACACAGTGGGATGACTTACTGGCTTCCTGCTAAAACCAAAATAGTCTGGGTTCTATCTGTTCTATGCTCAGACGGGGCTGGGAACAAACATCATGGTAAAGCTTCAAATATCAAATTCGAATGAGTCAGTGTCAGGCTAGGGGTAAGCAAATTTAAAAATACTTGCTTTTTAAATTTCTTTAAAAGTAAGTTAAGGTGAAGGAGGGGAACATAGGCATAGAGAGGACTGAAAAGCGATGAGTCTGAGTCGAGGTCATAACCTTCAGAAAACTCCCGTCAGGGCAGTAACGACTCAGATGGTAATCTAGTGTGAATGACTTCAGTTTATTCATGGGTTCTAAGTACCCAGGTTTCCTCCTAACTACAATGGGTAACTTAGATATGCTCATGTTTGGAACCCCATCAACTGACCACTGAGGCTTTACACCTTACCTCCATAATGAGATAGTTCTTGGCCCAAGTGCTGTTCGCTGGGTCTGGAATTTCTCTGTTACACCACTGAGGTCTGAGGGCTGACAGGAGAACAAATACCCTATAGATATAGAAAACACTGGCATCAGGTTAAGTGAGTATATGTGACATGGAAGCACGGGTTCTTAGCACAGTGATTTCAGTACAGGGGTATGCAAATAAGTGAAATATAAACACTGAAGGAGAAAGATGATGCATCATCCAAGGATGGACTAGTTTTTTGTGAAGTTTGGATAGGTGATAGTCACAATGCAGTCACATGGGGTTTGCTAAATAAATGATGGCACTTTTGCTCAGTGTAATGTTTAGCTGTCACTATGCAGCCATGCACTTATTCAACAAACATTCCCTAAGGTATGACCAGCACAGTGCAGGGGTAGGACAGCAAACAAGAAGGCATGGTCCCTACTCTTGGGAGTTTTCTAATCGTGTAACTACAATGTTTATAAAGAGTTTGTAATGACAAGTAAATTATGCTAAAAGTAAGAAAACAAACAGGATACTAATGATATAAATAACCTAAACATAGACCATGCAAAAAAATGCCAAGAAAAATACTGTAGAGAAACATTCAAACTGTTAAAAGAGTACTTGTGTTTGGTGATCAGAGGAAATATGGGTCTTTTTTTCTACATCTCTAGGTTTTTAAAAAAATTTTTAAATGACTTTATATCACCTTTATGATGTAGGAGGGAAAAATCCTTTAAATTGTTTCTTATAAATGCATATGGTTAAATATTTTAACTATATTTTTAAAAATTCAAGACCAATATGAAACATCTTTAAAACCTTAAGCTTTGATGTTTAATAAGAATGGTGAGCTCTGGGATGTGTTTAGCCCTTTGAAACAAAAGATGTGGCCATGTGATTAGTTTTCTCCAAAAAAATGTGAGCAGAGGTACCTGTGACCTAGGATAGATCATGCAGATGAGGACAGTGCCAAAGGGTGGTCAGCCAATAAGATGGAATAAAACTGGGTCCCTAAATGACTGTGTGGAGCAGGGCTGCCAACCAACCTGGATCACTTATCTCTTATATGGGAGAGAAATAAACTATTTTATTAAAGCCACTTCATTTTGGGCCTTCCTCCCTCCCTCCCTCCCTTCCTTCCTTCCTTCCTTCTTTCCCTCCCTCCCTCTCTCTCTCCCTTCTTCCTTCCTTCTTTTTTTAAACAGCAGAAGCTTTGCCCCTCACTGATACTATTTCCCTGAAGAGGATACATGTGATCCTAGTTAACTCTTTTTTAGTTAAACTTTTTCAAAATCTACCTTGCTTTGAAGTACCTATCACATACAGGGTTTAAATAAATGTAAAGCCTTTCAGACAAGTTCAATAGCTGGCAGAATGACTTTGAACTAGTTTTATTTTTACCTCTTCTCTTACGTTATACAACATCTGAAGAAAACTTTGTATTGAGTAACTACCTCCTTAAAAATTCTTTCAATAAAATAATATGTTTAAAGAAATTTTAGAAAGTATAGCTAAATAAAAGAACTAAAACCACCTAATGTGATTTTATCCCCTGATATAACTACCATTAATATTTTGGTGTATATTTTTGGGGCAGAGAGTGTTAGTTGCTGCCCAATACTTGTTTTCCTCTCTGCCTTAGGAAGAACACCTTAATGTATTGGGACAACCATGAGCCCAGCTGTAAGGCCACAATTCTAAACCTCCCTGCCTCACCAAGTTCTGGCCAATGAAATCTAACCAAAAGTATCCCGTGTGACTTTTTCATGTAAAGTCTTCTGAAAAGGAAAGTGTAGGCACCTTCTTTTTCCCTGTAGTTGTAGAAAGCAGGCATGATGGCTATCATTCCTGCAGCCATTGGACCATGAGGTGAAATGGATGGAAGCCAGTGTCAGGATAATGGAGCAGAAAGATGCATTGGAGCTATTCACCAACCCTTGACCTGAGTTTACTTCCCTTACCTGGGTGAGAAGCTGTTAGCTAGTTTGTCATATTATTTTGGATTTTTATCTTATATACAACCAAATTTAATGATAACTGATAATATTTTGTGTGTATGTATGTACTATGCTTTTAAAAAATGGAAGTACATCTTTTGCAAGCTTCTTTTAGAATACAGCAAATATTCATGATTTCATTTTCTTCTACATCTTTAATGGACACATAATATTGCTAGATAGCATGAGATATATCATGATTTCATTAATCCCATGTCATTGGGTCTTTATGTTTCAAATTATTTTCCTTTTATGAACAATACTTTAGCATACCCTTATGATATACTTAGAATAAATTTCTAGTTAGAAATTGCTAGGTCAGTGATAGAACATTTTTTAAAATTTAATATATATTGCCAATCCAAAAAGAAATAAATTTACTCTGCCATCAGCAATGTATGAGAGTGTCCATTTCTTGGACTCATAGCAATGATAACAATTATCATTTAAAAAGACAGTTACCAAAACTGGCAGGTGTACCCAACTCACTTTTGCCGGAAGTAACGCATTGAGAAAATGCCCACCATGATGATAGCAGTGCAAATGCTCGGTGCCACAAATGTGCTCCAATTGGCTTTACCTGAAAAGATAGCAAACCCTGTGATTGAGTTATCTTCAGTGAACATTTTAAAATACTCTCTATAGTGTGAAACTCGGCCCTACCATAACTCCTGAGTAGCTGGGCGCAGGAATAGGCCGAGTCATTTTATTCATTCATTTAAGTCACAGCAGTTCTCAACCTGTGGGTCGAGATCCCTTTGGCGGTTGAACGACCCTTTCACAGGGGTCGCCTAAGACCATCCTGCATATCAGATATTTACATTACGATTCATAACAGTAGCAACATTACAGTTATGAAGTAGCAACAAAAATAATTTTATGGTTGGGTCACAACATGAGAAACTGTATTTAAAGGGCCAGAAGGTTGAAACAGCTTAGCACTTCCAGGGGACTAAGGTTGTCTGGTCCTGCTTTGGAGTATAAGTGTAAGGCAGAGGATGAAGCTAGATGAGTGAGTAGGACCAAGTCATGCAGGTCCTGGTAACAGAGCAGTTTGAATCCTAGCTTGAAGCCCTTGGGGAACCACTGATGGGTTTTGACAGCAAGAGGTGGAATGTCAGCACTAGGGGTCTTGTAGAAAGATTCTTCTGATGGAATGAAGGACAGGCTGGGAGGGAGGGCAAGCAGGGGAACCTGCTAGGTTCAGTGAGAGAGGTGTATTACCAGGGCTGAATGGGGGAGTTATCACAGGCAGCCTTGTTACCACCCCATACAACCAGCCCAATCTGACATTTCTTCAGCATCTGCCTTCCTTCCTGGGCAGATGGGACAGTCTGGAGCACCACAAGTAGAATGATGCTGAGCTCTTCATCTAGTTAACTGCTCACAGTTACCTTTCATGGGAGTCACTGGGAGATGAAAAGGTGGGTTTTTAATTTTCCCAGTGGAGAAGTACCTGGCATAGAACAACAAAGTCCTGAATAACCAACTTGATACTCCCTGTCAGAAAGCAAGAACAGTGTGTTTTACTCTTGGGGCAAATGCAAACTACTGCTGCTGGAGAGAACAATGTAACTTCGCTTGTGGAAGCACAGGGTAGCTGGGTCACTTTACATATTCAACCTTAAGGAACTCAAATCTGAGTTTGATTTGTAGTTCTGCCATTTACCACCTCTATGACCTTGGGTAATTTTTCTGTACCTTATATTTGTAAAAGACATCCTAATACCTCATTCCTTTATTCATTTCATATTGAGCGCCTGGTAGTGTGACCAGGTATAATCATGTAAAACAGGCACTTTACATGGTTGTGGTCAAGATTAAATGAGCGAAAGTATGTGTTATGTAGGTTGAATTGTGTTCTCCCACGCCAAATATTCATATGTTGAAGTCCTAATCTCCAGTACCTCAAAAAGTGACCTCGTTTGGAACTAGGGTTGTTGCAGGTGTAATTAGTTAAGATGAGGTCAGACTGCAGTAGGGATGCCTCTAATCCAATATGACAGGCGTCCTTATAAAAAGGGGAAGTTTGAACACAGACACACAAGGAAACCTCAACGTGAAGATGAAGGCAGAGATCCACAAGCCAAGGAATGCCAAAGATTGCCTCCAGACTCCAGGCGAGAGGCATAAAATGGATTCTTTCATAGCCTTCAGAAGAAATGAACTCTGCTGATACCTTGATCTTGGACCTACAGCCTCCAGAAATGTGAGAAAATAAATTTCTGTTGTCTAAGCAACCCCCAATTTATGGTGCTTTGTTACAGGAGCCCCAGCAAACGAATATGGTGTAAAAGCACTTAACACATGACTAGTACATAACTATCTGATATGCAATAGCTGCTATTGCTATTGTTGAGATTATTCTCATTATTCATTAAACAGATATTTAGTGAACAAGTAGTACTAAGTGGTGGGCACCATTCTAGACCTTGAAGATAGAGATAAACAGGTACCAGTCCCTGCCCATTGGATTTGGAGTTTGAATATGGGTCAAATGTAGTACATTATGAGGGAAATAGGAGGTGCATTTGGGAAGACTACCTGGAGGAGGAAACATTTCCACTGAGTTTTGAAGACTGAGTAGACACTGTCTCCAAGCAGACAATAGGTAGGGCAGTCCAGTTACAGGAAACAAGTGCAAAGGTGTAGCAGTAAGAAAGCTATGAGCAACTTAAAGAAAATCTGATAATCTCCATGCCAAAGGCCGAGGGACTGTACACCTGTGTGGGAACCCAGGATGGACTCTCCACCTCTAAGGTTGTTCTTACCTTGCAGACAAAATTCCCTCTCATTTCCTTGGGGGCTTTCGCCAGCTGCTGTCAGAGCTGTCATCCACAGGACATATCTCACTCTGGGCTGCAGACTGTCTATTGGATGTGAATTTCCAGAGACGCTATGGGGAATTTCTGAGAGGAAGATAAAGGGAAGCAAGGCACAGATTAAAGGGAATATTTGAATATGGGCTTTTACTCATTGGTTAATGCTTCATTTAATTTGAAAGAGAAAAGCACATTTCTGTTTTAAAATAGTCTTAATTAGTACTTAACACTTTAGTAGGCCCTACATGCAGTCATTTATGGAGGTCTCACTTTCCAGGATATTAGAAGAAGTAAATATTTTTTCTGGGGCAAAATCTTTTGAAAGAATTCTTATCGTTTTGTTTTTTAAATTATTTAGTTGTAGTTAACTTCTATTTTTTTAAAAATGTTTTTATTGATTTGAGAGAGAGAGAATCATTGATCTGCTGCCTCCTGCATGCCCCCCACTGGGGATGGAGCCTGCAACCAGGAATCAAACCAGTGACCTCAGTGCATGGGACGCCACTCAACCAACTGAGCCATAGTGGTTAACTCCTTTTATGTCCTATAATGTTTCTGGCATTTACCAGGTATATTTGAGAATCTTTGAGAAAGAAATTCAATATACAAATTGTTTTCAATTGACCTTTTAGAAAGCTAAGTTTAGCAATTAATGAAACAGATATTTAAGCAACATTTATTAATTTTGATTTTCCACTCAGTAGGCTTAGTAGGCTTAATATGATGATCTGCTACAATTTGATGTAAAATTTAAAACCTAGAGCAGCGGTATTTAAGATTAGATTTATTTTGGCAGTTTAAGCCTAAATCATCAGTTCCCTATGCTCTCCACACGCCTGCAGATTCTTAGCAGGGAAGATTCTGTTTTTGAGCAATGCACTGAGGCTGTTTGTAGGTAGCCTTCAGTAAACAGGCAGTCAGTCTTCTCCTCCAGCGATCTTCTGGGTGGGATTAGGGTCGGGGGACATAC